TGTTTTCGCAGGAGAAACCCGACACACACCGCCGGGAGGTTAAGGGGCAGCAGGAGCCCTGTGGTGCTGCTGCTCAGGGTGCAGAAACACGCATTCCGCCCGCGAGCACGTTTCCTTTTATAGACCCGGGGCAGCGGAGCGGCTGTCGGCTGGGGGGCAGGAGCGCAGCCCTATGCGCCCCGACCCCCGAGAGCTGCCCACTCGCGACCGAGGAACAGGATGCCCGTGGGTCCCGGGAGAGGGTGGGGGATCACGGGCTTTCCAGGAAACACGAGAGGGATCCCCGCTCCGGGGCTGGGTGCGGAGGGCAGAAGGTGACAGAGGACAGATGCCCGTGTCGATAAGACTGTTGTAAAAACACGCGAGGCGTGGGAGAGTCACGTCCCGGGGCCAGCTTTCGCTCTGACCCGAAACGCGTTGAAAGTCGGGCAAAGAAACCAAGACAACCACCCACCCCACCCCGCGCCCCGGCTGGAAGAGCCCGGCTCCCACGGACACGCGTGGGCAGAGCGGTCGCCTCACCGGTTGAGGAAGGCGTTGCCGAAGGCGTTGAGCTTGCGGAAGGGCTTCTTGGGGTCCACGACCAGCGCGTTGCCCGGCACCACGCCCTCCTGCTCCCCGTACATGACGGCGATGAAGGAGTCGGTGGTGGGCTCGGGGCCGATGCGCATGCCGGGGAAGTCCTGCTCCATCAGGTGGCGGATGAAGGTGGTCTTGCCGGTGGAGTACTGGCCCACCAGCAGCACCATGGGCTTGTTGTCGAAGTCGGCGTCCTCCAGCGCCGGCGAGTGGAAGTCGTGGAAGCGGTACGCGTCCTCCAGCGGCAGCAGCTTGTTCCGGTACAGGCGCCGCAGCCCGTCCGACACCGTCTGGAACAGCTCCGGGTCCTTCTTGCGCCGCCCGTCCTTGCTCGCCCAGCTGAACATCCTGGCGGCTGCCGGCGGCGGGGCAGGAGCGGGGGGGGGGTGCGGGCCGACTGGCGGCGGAGCCTGTGCTGGGGGGCCGGCGGGTGGGGGTCTGGCCTCGCCGCCCGGCGCTCTGGGGGAGTCGGGGTCCCTCCCTGTCGGCGACCCGGGTTCAGAAACGAGGACCACCGCTGGCGCCGGGGTCCTGTCGCAGCGGGGAAGCTGTTCTGTTTCGGGCCTGAGGCCGGATCAGGGTCCGATACACAGCGAGTCCGTCCGTCCGCCCGTCTCTCCTCCGACACGGCCGCCGCTCGTGAGCTGGCTCTCCCGGTCTCGAGCAGCTGGAGCGTGCCCCCCTCCGCCCCCCGGCACGTGACCCCCGGGTCTGGCCGCCTGATTGGTGCGACGTCAGCGGCCGCCATCTTGGGTAGGGCGCGCATACGCGCACACGCACACACACACACCTAACACACGGGTACGCGCACACAGTTACGTAAGGATCCACAGCGCCCGGCGGTGGCGTAGATCTGTAAACCCACGGTCCCGTCGGACCTCAGCTTGCGCCAGAGGCCGTGGGGCTCGTGAGAAATCCCGGGGCTTTACTGCTGACGCACGCAGAGTTGGTGCGGAGCGGGATTTCAGGTCTTTCTCAAGTGAAACATTTTCCAACTGGTAACTGAAAGTAAAACAGTCTGCCTGTCTTATCGGCCGCCCGCTCCGCCCGTGAGCCCAGCGGGAGCCGGTCCTGGAGAGGAAGGAGACAGGTGTCGGGTCATCACGCACGGAAGAGGGGACCCAGCGCCCTCAGGTCGCGGCCCCGCGGGGACACCGCTCCCACCCGAACCACCGCGGGCTGGACTGGGAGCTGGTGTAGTTATCAACTGGGATTATAATCCCACTCACAGTAACACACTGCAGGCTGGACTGGACTGGGAGCTGGAGTAGTTAT